CGAGCGTAGACGTAGTCGCCAAGATGTAAATGTAGCATGTTAGATTTAACTGGCAAACACATTGAACAGCCAACTCACAAAGTTTTTAACTATCTTGTAGCGTGATACGCAGAGTAGTGTTATCTAGAGGTCTGTAAGTTAACTGAGTCATTGCAATGGATGTGAGAAAACCTATGCTGCTAGTATCCATGATGATAGGTCAGTATGTCATGGTGGTAGTGGAGTATGTCATGATGGTAGTGGAGTATGTCATGATGGTAGTGGAGTATGGCATGATGGTAGAGGAGTATGTCATGATGGAAGTGGAATATGTCATGATGGTAGGGAAGTATGTCATGATGGTAGTGGAGTATGCCATGATGGTAGTGGAGTATGTCATGATGGTAGTGGAGTATGTCATGATGGTAGTGGAGTATGTCATGATGGTAAGGGAGATGTCATGGTGGTAGGGGAGTATGTCATGATTGTAGTGGATTATGTCGTGATGGTCGGGGAGTATGTCATGATAGTAAGGGAGTATGTCATCATGGCAAGGGAGTATGTCTTGATGAAAGGAAATTATTTCATTTAGAAAAAAACACATTTAAGTTCACCCCATTTTATCATAACCTCATTCCCCTTTATGACGTTAAGATTTGTGTACCTTCATACGCCTTAACTTTGTTCACCACGCCACCAATTTTGTTCACCACGACACCAATGTTGATGACCACGCCACCAATGTTGTTCACCACGCCATTAATGTTGATGACCACACCACCAATGTTGATGACCACACCACCAATGTTGATGACCACGCCACCAACGTTGTCTGCCACAGGCCATGGAAGAGCTGAGGAGATTCATGTATGTCAACGGCCTCACCAACAAGAACAGACAGAAGCTCATGCGTAACCTCAGAGTGAGTCCACTTCATTTTCATTTCACATTGTTAGTTTTCAATGCGGCAATCTTTCTTACATAACCTACATCACTGTTTCCCTAGCGTGTACATGGTAGTAGTTCTATAGGCCCTGCAAGGTGCTTACAAAATTGAATGTATCCCCGATTCAACATTTATTTGAAGAGACGGGGAAACACCTGATAGGACAATACATCGATGTCATAACTTGCCACCAGGTCATCGATCTGCTGGTCAAGATTCTCCAGTGTCCACTCGATGCCCAGCCCGACGAGATCAACCTGACCTCCGTGTTCAAGGAAGCGTACGATACGCTCTACACCTACATGATTGGGCGCTCGAGGAAGAATGCCCTTTACTTTGCCAAGTACATCGACTTCTTTCAAACACAGTTTACCCAAAAGGTATGCAATATAGTATACGTTCTTAAAAACAGCCAGCCCATTCTCCAAAGGTATGCAATATATACGTTCTGAAACACGCCCAGCCTGCTCAAAAGGTATGTGATGTATATTTTCTTAAAACGGCTAGCCCACTGAAAGGTGTGCAATATATACGTTCTTAAACACAGATAGCTTGAATTCAAAAGATATGCCCCAAAAAAAGTATACTTTCTGAAACACGGTTTACTCTACAGGTATGCAATAGTTGATTAACTTAAAGACAGTTTACTCAAAAGGTATCAAATATATGAAAGGTTTGTGACAATACGCTATGGGTCTACAAAGATTTAATTTAGTTGTCGCTCATTGATATCAAAGACTTTTTACTGTCTGAAAATTACTTTCCTATTTAGCAAACCTAATCTTAACGTAACCTGAAGTCGACCATTCTATCTTCAACCTATATGCCCGTCTTAACAGCTTTATTTAACCCAACTTAACAGCCCATCTGACAAAACAGCCTTATGTAACCCAACTAAACAGACCAGTTTTCGCTTCCGCCACATTGTAACTTGACATGACCTTTTTTGTGACCTTTCAACGTCTCAATGACATATGTGAAGCGTAACTTATCGAAGCAATCAACAGGCCAAAGATCAATCATTTTTTTCATATTAAAGCAAATGACCAATGTCCAGTATGTAATCAAATGCTACCCTTCATTCATCAGGACGAATTTTTTTGTTTTGTGCGAAAACAACTCTATCTTCCCTATCCTCTCAATCTTCTCAATCCTAGGGTGGCATAGGATTGAATGTTGCTCAGATGATTGTTGAGCTCATCAGAGACAAGCGAAAGATTGTCGACCGAATCACGCATGCGCAGATTGACCAGTTTGTGACCTTGCTGGAGAAATCACAGGTTAGTTCAGCGTTACTTCGCTACGCCATTGAGAACAAAATTGTTTTGGGATCTAGGTTAAAATAATAGATCAAAGTATACAAAGCAGGTGAAATACAGTTAAGGTAATGTTAAAATATATTTAGCGCCAGCTCCAACTTGGACTCTAATGGGTTAGTACTAAGAAGGGAACAGACTAATCCGTAAAGTATAATATTGTCTTGTTGTAAATAGGCAAACATCATTACATAGTAAATATTTGCTGTAACAAGTTTTATTTCACTGTCTTGTAGTAAATAGGCAAACATCATTACATAGTAAATATTTGCTGTAACAAGTTTTATTTCACTGTCTTGTAGTAAATAGGCAAACATCATTACATAGTAAATATTTGCTGTAACAAGTTTTATTTCACTGTCTTGTAGTAAATAGGCAAACATCATTACATAGTAAATATTTGCTGTAACAAGTTTTATTTCACTGTCTTGTAGTAAATAAAGTGAGACTAGATCATACTTGAAGATCTGAACACATTTTCTCAACCATTTGTTTAGAACTACCGATTCCTGGACCTGCTCCACGTGCTTTGTGTGTGTGATGACGTGGCGATACCGAACAACCAGTCCTACATTGTAGAGAGATGGCTGTCCACTGGTCAGGTGAGAAATGGTGCTGGTAAACTAAACACATATGTTTTGATCTATGGGCGCCTGCCTACCCTCACCCCCCCCCCAACTACTCACCACCTATCCACACTACCTATCCACACTACCTATCCACACTACCTATCCACACTACCTATCCACACTACCTATCCTCACTACCTATCCGCACTACCTATCCGCACTACCTATCCGCACTACCTATCCACACTACCTATCCACACTAACTATCCACACTACCTATCCACACTACCTATCCACACTACCTATCCGCACTACCTATCCGCACTACCTATCCACACTAACTATCCACACTAACTATCCACACTTCCTATCCACATCCCTTTAAATATCCACTGATATTTTATTCGATGGATTGTGCTATAAAAATGGATATTGTGTTGATAGAATTGTAGTTTTCTGTCCGTTCCCAAGACACACACTAAAACATATGGTGAACGATCTTTCTCTTTCTGCGCCCCCAAACAATGGAATTCTTTGCCACTACACATACACAATATAACAACCACACAGGCCTTCAAAACTGCACTCAAAACATATCTCTTTAAATTATACTACCCTGAGTGATTCCCCTCCTCTGACCGATAAACGATCTTGCTTGTTGCCGTCCATGGTTTGCCTTGTAAAAGTTATGTGGTGGGGTGGGTGAATATACATTGCTGTTCTTTATTTCATAAATGTATTTTATTTTAATGTCATGATTATGTCTCTTTTGATAATATTCTTATTTTTTTATGTACAGCGCGGTGAGCCCAGCCCTAGGCTGGGGTACCGCGCTATATAAGACTACTTTATCATTATTATTAAAATTATTTGAAGATTGGAGTTCAAAATTTAAAAACTTAAAGAAATGCATCATTAATTTATTTCCATGCGACATGAGAAACAGCCATGGACCCATCGGAGAAACTCGCTCCATTTGACCATCAAAATATGTGTAGCAATTCGAGCAATCAGTATATCACCAACACATTGCTACCTACAGTGTTGAGGTTGTTTACACTAAATTTGTTAAATGGCTACACGTGTATGCTACCTAAAACACCAAACTTACATTGTTTCAAAGAATCTCATAAAGATAGACACATTTCCGTTTAAATTCGATTCCTTGTTATTTTATAGTTTTATTAATTTTTTAAAAAATAATTTATAACCCCTATTTTTTTAATTCGATCACATTTTCTGTTGGAATTTGTAGTAAAATAAAACCTTGCGGGCCAGAAAGTAACCCAGGTAACCAAAAGAGTTTACTAAGAGTTAACAGAGAATCAGTACCGTATGCGCCATATATGTTCAGCATTGCTTTGATCCGGCATAAGATGCGTGAGAACTGTTTCTTTAATCATTGTTTCTTTAATCATTGTTTCTTTAATCATTGGGGGGAAATCCACTGTATTTATCTCTGTTCGCAGAAGGGCGTCTACCTAACAGCTAGGGGCCAAGACATCAACAGGCAGCCCAACATCTTGTACATCTCGACCACTGGAGGGAAAAGCTGGGTGGCCTTGCACGAGTTTGTTGACGTCAGTACATGATATAGTCTAGGAATGACCAGTATATGATATAGTCTACGATTGATGATATAGTCTAGGACTGACCAGTAAATGATATGGTCTATGATTGACCAGTACATGATATAGTCTAGGATTGACCAGTAAATGATATGGTCTATGATTGACCAGTACATGATATAGTCTAGGATTGACCAGTAAATGATATGGTCTAGGATTGACCAGTACATGATATAATCTAGGAATGACCAGTACATGATATAGTCTACGAATGACAAGTACATGATATAGTCTAGGAATAACCAGCACATGATGTAGTCTAGGAATGACCAGTACATGACATAGTCTAGGAATGACTAATGGCGTAACTGGTGGGGTGGGGTGGGGTTTAAAACCCACGGGGAAGTGCTTCATTTCCAATGTTGATATGTTTGTATATGATTTAATTACAAACTTTTTTTTAATTTAAATGTCTTTATTCCAATAAATCTTTTCTTTATTCAAATGTTCTGAAGCATAATGTAACTTATTTTTGTTAAACACTCTGTCAATATGGCTCTGTCAATATGGCTCTGTCAATATGGCTCTGTCAATATGGCTCTGTCAATATGGCTCTGTCAATATGGCTCCCCAGGAGAACAACGCCTGCTATGATCAGAACAAACACGACTTTCTGCTCCATCAGCTTGACCTGTACAAGGCACTCTGCCATGTAAGTTAACACTCTGCCATGTAAGTTAACACTCTGCCGTGTAAGTTAACACTCTGCCGTGTAAGTTAACACTCTGCCATGTAAGTTAACACTCTGCCGTGTAAGTTAACACTCTGCAGTGTAAGTTAACACTCTGCCATGTAAGTTAACACTCTGCAGTGTAAGTTAACACTCTGCCGTGTAAGTTAACACTCTGCCGTGTAAGTTAACACTCTGCAGTGTAAGTTAACACTCTGCCATGTAAGTTAACACTCTGCCGTGTAAGTTAACACTCTGCAGTGTAAGTTAATGCTCTGTCATGTAAGAAACTGCTCTGCCATGTAAGTTAACGGCCTCATAGAGTTGGCAATCATTTCAAAAATATTATGCACTACAAAACAACAACAACCTCAAACATGATCTTATTATTTATTGCATCTTTTTTAAAAAAAATATTATTATTATTATTTTTACTATGGTGACAGTTTATGTTAGTTTCAGCTTTAGATTTACCTGTCGCTCTCAACATTTTCAGGGGCGGAACGACTTTTCCATTAACATCATTACAAAAGAGCTGAGGTACCTGACCTGGGAGGAGACCTTTCTGTCTCTGAGGTCAGACATTCTGCCGGACGCCATCAGGGCCAAGTACTGTGATCTCACTACCAGTAAGTTCTTTCCTCTTCCTGTTATGTGTATCTGCCACTGGACCAACGACACCCCGAGTCAGGCTTAAGGGAGAGGGCAGGGCATCTATCAGGGCCAAAATTAGGCTTATGTCGCGCAGCTCTGACTCCATCTCCCCCATGATACATAAACATACTTTTTTTCGGCTTTGGCGCCCCTCTAGGTGAATATTTTTTGCCCCAGCTTAGTTTCAACCTTGAAATCTATCTATACCAATCTGAGGAAAAATCTTCTTTTTTTAAAGTTCAAAACAATCAGAAGAAGATCCCAGGCCGTGTGGATTTCGTCCGGCGAAGTCTTCACCATCGTCCTGTTGTGATGGACGGATGCCAGCAAAAAAAAAAAAAAAGCATAAGGCCCTGGGCACTGGGTTAAGATACTTTTGTACACAGTGGCGTAGCTAGGGGAGGGGGAGGATGGGTCCAAATTCGAAAGTCCCCCCGGGCCGCTACTTGAGGGGGGCCCTCAAAGGAGTGTCCGAATTTTTTTTTACATTAAATAATGTCGAATATCAAAATGCAAGGGCCCCAAAAAGGCCAAGCCCCCCCCCCCCGGGCCCCCAAATCGCTAGCTACGTCCCTGTTTGTACATTAAGTATCTAATTACTGAACTTATCTCCAATGATGGGGCATGAAATATCCGAGTTTTTATAACAAAATGTCTGATTTGACCTGTCATTAGAGTGTCATAGGGTCGGCACACATCTCAAAATGTCTGTAGAGTGTCCATGTCACAATGCCAATTTTCTGTAAAATGTCCATGTCACAATGCCAATTTTCTGTAAAATGTCCATGTCACAACACACTTATCTGTACAATGTCCATGTCACAACGCACTTATCTGTAAAATGTCCATGTCACAATGTCAATTTTCTGTAAAATGTCCATGTCACAACGCACTTATCTGTAAAATGTCCATGTCACAATGCCAAATATCTGTAAAATGTCCATGTCACAATGCCACATATCTGTAAAATGTCCATGTCTACAACTGGTAGACTACAACTTCTTCTCATAAAGTCCTCTTACGACTTATTCAGTGATGCCGAGATCATAATTAAAGTCTTGAATATAAAACTCTGCACCCAGCAAAATTACAAAATTCACTTTTAAAAAATACCCCTCCCCCACCCCCCCCCCCCCCCCCCAAGTCTTTAATATAAAACCCCGCCCCCAGCAAAATTACAAAATTCACTTTTAAAAAATCCCCCCCCCCCCCCCCCCCCCCCCCCCCCCGATGGCGCCATTCAGAACGTCCGAAATGAATGCTCCCAAGTTTAGAACCAACCAGTCGGGGGGTCATTCATAATTCAATTATATTAACTGAACTACACAGAGATCTCCATGAGCGGTTCCGGTACAGTGTAGATGACTGGTACCCCGACCGGTGTCTTCTTGTTTGTTTTTTTTCAAAGTGGCTTTAAATTACCCTAAATATTTTATGTATAGGAAAACCACTGTTAAACATAAAAAAAAATGTCAACTTCATAAAAAACAACACAAACTTACAAACAATGTTTTACAAGTATATAATCCAGTCTCCGGGTGTCTGGCTGCCATGGAAATCAGTTTGCTAACACTTTTAAATAGTAAATTGCTTGAATAAATCCGATTAGTCTAAGTCTAAAATAACGGTTAAATTACTGCGTTTATTTTTTGAGGATTCTTAAAATAGCAGAGATACAGATAGTGTTAAGCAGGGCAGAGCCGAAGATTGTAGTATTTTCAGCCATAAAGAATATCTGAGTGTTGCTTATTCATTTCTCGGAGCGAAAACAAAGAAGCAATTAGAAACGTCACCCGTTTGTGAGATTAGCAAATTTTAATCCAGATAATTTAGTTGTTAGGAAATTTCAAAGTGAGTAGATTTAGTGTGGTTTTAGGGTCTCTACTTTTCTGAACAGGGGTGCACACTGCTGCTGTTGGTGCTACAGTTTAAGAACCGCCCGGGTTATTGTCTCGCCCTTAAGGCAGTTTATTGGTGTGTTTTATGACTGGGTGGGGGGGATGTCATGATCTTAGCTGGAGATATTGGTAGACTCATGGAATCTTGATATAGTGGTAGACTCATGGAATCTTGATATAGTGGTAGACTCATGGAATCTTGATATAGTGGTAGACTCATGGAATCTTGATTTAGTGGTAGACTCATGGAATCTTGATATAGGGGTAGACTCATGGAATCTTGATATAGTGGTAGACTCATGGAATCTTGATATAGTGGTAGACTCATGGAATCTTGATATAGGGGTAGACTCATGGAATCTTGATATAGGGGTAGACTCATGGAATCTTGATATAGTGGTAGACTCATGGAATCTTGATATAGTGGTAGACTCATGGAATCTTGACATAGTGGTAGACTCATGGAATCTTGATATAGTGGCAGACTCATGGAATCTTGATATAGTGGCAGACTCGTGGAATCTTGATATAGTGGCAGACTCATGGAATCTTGATATAGTGGTAGACTCATGGGATCTTGATATAGTGGCAGACTCATGCAAAATTGAAACAGTTGTAGATTAATGGAATCTTGATATAGTGGCAGACTCATGCTAACTTGATATAGTTGTAGATTCATGGAATCTTGATATAGTGGTAGTCTCATGCTAGCTTGATATAGTTGTAGATTCGTGGAATCTTGATATAGTGGCAGACTCATGCAAACTTGATATAGTTGTAGACTCGTGGAATCTTGATATAGCGGCAGACTCATGCAAACTTGATATAGTTGTAGATTCATGCACGCTTGCCATGGTGGTACGCTCATGGAGCGGCATCAGAAATTTAAGCTCAAAGTTTGATATAGTGGCAGACTCCTGCAGTGGCAACAATACACCCCATTATTTGCTCATGCAATATTACATTTCATTTCAAATATTTTCAATGGCATGTCACAAATAATATTCATGATAGTTTTTATTCGAGATTTGACATTTCAATATTTCCATGTCACACCAGCCGTGTCACATATATGCAGGAATTCGTTGGTATGTGCATTGTGTTGTATGTGCATGGTGTTGTATGTGCATTGTGTTGTACGTGCATTGTGTTGTAAGTGCATTGTGCTGTATGAGCATTGTGCTGAATGTGCATTGCGTTGCACGTGTCCATAATTTTTAGGCCGTCTTCGCTTTCAATGTTTTCCTCCTCGCATTGACTCTCGGTGTTAACATTTCATGTGACATCGCCTCCTACATTTAAGCCTCCCTACCGTGTTTAGAGAAGGATGAATTATCGAGTGTATCCTTTTGCTGAATTACACTATGACGCTTAAGTTTTATAAAAATCAGCCCCCCCCCCCCCAATTTTCCCCTTTCCCCTTGAGATGTAGATAGATCTCGACAGGACAACCAAAATAAATCCCATTGATTGTGTCTTCATCACCAGTCATTGTTTCGCCACTGTTCAAATCAGAAAAGATGAAAACAGGGAATTATCAATATCGAACTAAGTGCTAGACGCGTGTGTGTGTGTGGGGGGGGGGAGGGGGGTTGATTTGACAAACTAATTTATCGGCAATGGTTGATGCTCGTCGATGTGTGAGGGGGGGGGGGTGAGAAAAACTGGACTGAACTGACGGGTCAGCGTGGGTCAGATGTGAGCAAAGGTTTGAGGTGGGGGGGGGGGCTTGGAAAGAGACCGTGTCACTACCCCACCATCTCATTTTCAGATCTCTTAGCTTTAGGTTTTGGGTGTGAAGTGGGGGGGGGCATTGCCTGTTTAAATATTCACGTGCATGCCAAGGAGTTTGGAAATTGAAGCAAAAGTAATCAGATCATTTCCCTTAGTAGCGTAAATGAAAGCCTTAGAGATGCGCTACTTTCCCTAGTATCATATATGAAAGCCTTAGAGATGCGATACTTTCCTTAGTATCGTATATGAAAGCCTTAGAGATGCGATACTTTCCCTATTATCGTATATGAAAGGATTAGAGATGAGAGCAAAAGGGGAGTTAGGCAAACACAAAAATTTGTTTTGAGAATCTATAGTGTGAGGTGAACTAGTCAAATTAGAAGTTAGGGTTAGGGCTAGGGTTAGGGTTAGGGCTAGGGTTAGGGCTAGGTTTAGCGTTAGAGGTGGAAAAAGAAATTCTTAAAATTATATATATATTTGGTGTCTATTTATATTATTGTTACAGTAGCGAACAGGCTAACCACTCAGCTAATTTGGAGATTAGGGACATAAAAATTACTTAATCACTGCTGATCTGTTACTGGTAATTTTAGCTGGACTTCCGTCTTAATACAAGTTAAAAGACTTTATCGGAAAAAAACACAGGGACAATGTATCCATGAAAAAACACAGGGACAATGTATCCATGAAAAAACACAGGGACAATGTATCCATGAAAACACACAGGGACAATGTATCCATGAAAACACACAGGGACAATGTACCCATGTAACGCTAAATAAGAGGAACCATTGAAATACGTTCTGATTCTAAAAGAAAAAACTAAGGGCATTTTCAATTATTTTACGCGATTTGAACCAATTTAAATATGATAATAATGAACTATAACTGCTTACATGTTACGTCCAGGTCTAAGCATTATTATTGGAAATTAGAAATACGTTTAATAGAACAATTTTTAGAACTATTTTAAGTATTTTCTCCAATTTGAAAGTTGTGACGTTCGTTTTATGGCCAATAGTTTATCGTCTAAGTATTAAAATTATTAGTTCATATCCCATTTATTGGGAAAACCCAAACATCTTTGGGTTGGGGGGGTGGGGGGGGGGGGGGGGGGGGGGGGGGGGGGGGTTAATAGCGTTGTTGATATTGCGCAAAAGTTTCAATTTTTACACATTTTTGGATTTTGATATTTGATATTTGATATTTGATATTTGATATTTGATATTTGATATCAAAATGAATCAACCATAATCTTGAAATTTATGCGAAGAACTCCGGAGGATGTTAAACACAGCATGGTACAATGGTGCTAGAGGTTTAGAATTTTGATAAAGTTCAGG